GGGATGGGACAGACATGGCTCCTGCTGGTTTAAAACTCAGGTTTTATATTGCTCAGTGTGGTGAGGCCTCTGGAAAGATGGCTTGTTACTCACAGATCTCTAGGACAGAAGCGGGTGCACCATGAAGGGCTGTGCCAGAGAAACTGCAGAGTAGGCAAGAGGCAGAAGGAGAGGGGGATGTGGGCAGGAGCCTCCACTGTGGAATCACAGGAAGGAACGGTGAGGTGAGTGAGCAGGTGTAGGACTGATTTGCTAGAATAGTTTTGGGGTTGTGGGGCACAAGGCTGCCCCTGGTTGTCTGACCCTGGCCCTGAGGGGATAGGGCAGGGGTCAGTGGTCCTGAAAGTGAAAGGCTGATAGAGGCTCTGGCTGGGATGTGTGCTGTGCATTGGGTGGTTGACATTTGAAGGGTGTGCTCCAGGCAAGTCATTTTCTGTGTCTAGGGATTGGCTAATCCTAGGGGGAGGGGAGGGAAGGGAAGGTCCTTTAGCCTCAGGAAGGCCCCAGAGGTCAAAGCATCTAAATAAGAAGGTAAAAGGCATGGTTAATATGCCTGCCCTCCAAGAGTTTACTGCGGTGGGGGGGGTGGTGGCTGGAGGGTGAGGACCTCGGTTCAGACTTGCTGTGGGGAGTCCAGGTGGGGGTAATCATGGAGAACCAGCAAATAGGATGACAGTGAGTGTGCAGGTGGCAGGGGCAGATGGGTCCAGTGCTCCTCAGGAGGCAGAGTCTGTGGGATCTGGTAACTGACTGGGTGTGGAATGAGAGAGAAGAGGGTGTCAGGGATGCCTTGTCTCCACCGTGACACCAGTGCATCACAGTGTTGTTTGCTGAGATGGCCAAGGCCGGGGTGGAGCAGGTTTGGCAGAAAGGGGAAGGCCAGGAGCTCAGATGGCGATGTGTGGGTGTCAGTGTCCTGTGGGAACCTCCCAGCCAAGACTGAAGCGGCTGCTGTGAGTAGAGGCCCAGATGTCAGGACAGTAGGCAGAAACGTGAGGGCATCAGCAAATCCGCTGAGACTGAAGCCGTGGGCACTGGTGAGGTGTCTAAGAGGAAAGGAGAGGAATGGCCCAGGACACAGCCTGAAGGACTCTGACAGACAGAGGATACAGGGACTTTCCGATGCTAGTAACTCATGTCACATGAGTGGAGTGCCCAGTGTAGTGTATTTTATTTTGTTTTTTGAGACAGGGTCTCACTGTGTCACCCAGGCTGGAGTGCAGTGGTGCAATCTCGGCTCACTGCAGCCTGCATCTTCTGGTTCAAGTTATCTTCCTATCTCAGCCTCCAGAGTAGCTGGGATTACAGGTGCACCATCATGCCTGGCTAATTATTGTATTTTAAGTACAGACAGTGTTTCACCATATTGGCCAGGCTGGTGTCCAACTCCTGGCCTCAAGCGATCTGCATGTCTCGGCCTCCCAAAGTGCTGGGATTACAGGCGTGAACCACCACGCCTGGCCTATTTTGTCATTTTTTATGAGACTGTTTCACACCAAGTTCATTCTTTTCCTATTTCTCCCAAATTATTATGAAAGTAGGCTTACATTTTAATAAAGACTTTTTAAGTTAAAAAATTAAATTGGGTTAAAATACTGGAAGAAAACACAAGATTTTGTTTCTAAAAAATATTTAAACTTCAGCTGCAGAATGCCTTTCTAAACAAGACACTAAACCCCAAAGCATTTCATTAAGGGAAAGTTAAATTTTCATATAAGGAAAATGAATGATAAAGTCAAATTGGCCAGAAGGAGAATTATTTTCAGCAGCTCTGACAAATGAGCCAGTGTCCATCAATACAACAGATGAAGGCTCTCAAGAATCATCTAGAAACTAGAACATTTCAGTAGAGAAATGGGCAAAGGATACTAACAAAGAGTCAAGAAGATGGATGATTAACATCCAAAAAGACACACAGTTTCTTCCTAATTAAGAAATGCAGGTGAAAACCGAGATGCCCTTTGCCACCTGTTAGAGTGACAGTTTCAGATGTAGGGAAAACGGTCCCCCTAAAGCTAGTGATGGGAGAGTATCAAGCCAAAATAACCAAAAGAATCAGAATCAGGTTTAGAGCTTCTCCAAGCACAAAGCCGAGAACGGGCCCCCCAGCGGATGGAAGTCTGTGTTCCAAAGTGTAGAAGTCTGGGATTGCTTATCTAGACAAAGCTTTGGGAAGTTTAGCAGAATTTCAGCATCCTTCTGTGGAAGGTTTCATGCACGTTACAAGGATCTGACTAGCTGAGGGGTTCTTTTCTCTCTGGACAGGTATACTTATTCCACACTGAAGGCGCAACTATCATGGGGTCCTGGGTGCCATCCTCTCTGAGTTAGGTATGGGACAATAAAGAGGCAGATAATCTGTCACAAAGTCCAGTGATTAGAAGCGGGAGGTCTGGTGTCCAGTCTCTCCTGGTCATTCACAGAACAGGAACAGTGAAGAGGAAAGTTATTCTCTCTCTTTTTTTTTTTGCTGAGATGGAGTCTCACTCTGTCGCCCAGGCTGGAGTGCAGTTGTGCAATCTCAGCTCATTGCAACCTCCGGAGGGTTACTCTCTCAGAAGCCGAACAGCAAACAGGTTACATGCATCAGGTGTCCGGGCTTAACTTCCCCCTTGGCCTAGTAAATTTAGAGCATTCTGAAATTTTATTTTATTTTATAGGAGTGACCATTAAAAAATTTTGGAAATTGCAAAAGATGATTGAAAAAAACCACAGGGTCCTCCAAGGGACTTGGCTAAGTACGGATGAGACTTATGCATGAACAGATGAACTTTTAAAGCCTTAAAATTGTGATAAAATACATATAACATAAAATTGACCATCTTAACTATATTTAAGACTAATTCAGTGACATTAAGCCCATTCACATTGCTGTGCCACCATCCCCACTATCCATCTCGGAACTCTTCTCATCCCCAGACTGCAGCTCTGTCCCCGCTGAACACCAGCTCCCCATTCCCACTTCCCTAGCCCTGGCGACCACTGTTCTACCTGGTCTCTGAATGCTCTAGGGACCTCCTGTGAGCAGCAGCATAGAGTATTTGTCCTCTGGGGCTGGTTTGTTTCACTAAGTGTAATGTCCTCAAGGTTCATTTCTGTTTTCGTGTGTAAGCAGGCAAATTTTTTACTGAAAAAGCAAAAGCAAGTGGCATGTATGTGTGCATAAAATACTTTTAGTTAGCGCTACAAAAATCTTGGCCTGGCATGGTGGCTCATGCCTGTAATACCAGCACTTTGGGAAGCCGAGGCAGGCAGATCACCTGAGGTCAAGTGTTCCAGACCAGCCTGGCCAAAATAGTGAAACCCCATCTCTACTAAAAATAGAAAAATTAGCCGGGCATGGTGGTGCACACCTGTAGTCCCAGCTACTCAGGAGGCTGAGGCAGGAGAATCGCTTGAACCTGGGAGGCAGATGTTGCAGTGAGCCAAGATCACAGCACTGCACTCCAGTCTGGACAACAGAGCCAGACTCCCTCTCAAAAAAAAAAAAAAAAAAAAGAAGAAAAAGAAAAAAAAATCTATATAGGTAGCGAGAGCTTCAGGTGAGGCTATTTCATCATATCAATACATCAAACCTGTGTTGTTTGAAATTTTTGCTGTTGATGTGCATTGCTCTTTCCTTCTTTCTTGTTTTAGAGACAGGATCTCACCCTGTCACCCAGGCTAGAGTGGAGTGGCATGATCATGGTTCACTGCAGCCTCGACCTCCTGGGCTCACAGGATTCTCCCCTTCGGCCTCCCTAGTAACTGGGACCATATCCGGATTCATTGCTTTTTCATTTTAATAGGTTTTGCTTTGTGTGGTTTAGGTTATGGTCTATTTAAATAGCAGTGGTAGTTTCTGATTTATATGATATGGTTAATTAAATTCTACTTGGAAATTTAACCATATTCTCACTAAGATAGTTAGAAAACAATCATGGTTCAGCAGCCAAGCGCCTGAGTTCACCCAGCCTCACCGCTCCCGACCACCTCTGCCTCCTGCACCGTACGCTATGGATTCTCTGTGGCCCTGAAGGCCTCTGAGTTTCAGCCCAGGCCTGGCCTTCTCGCTTGTCCCACAAGACTCCCACAGCCTTCCCTCACCCCTTGACTGTCTGCTCAGGGCCCAGGCCTTGGTATCACAGCCCCACCTCATGAGAAGCCCTGTCTTCCTACTCACTGTTCACTCCAGGATCACACAGCCCCTCCTCCCCGCCCTCCACCCCCAGGAAAACTGGCGCCCTGAGCAGCCCACCAGAGACCATGTTCTGGCAGCCCCTGCCCCGCAGGTGCAGACCAGGATCTCTGAGCTACAAAGGATTCCTGGGTGGGGGTGGAGGTAGTGTCGGGCCACACCCCTTGTTCCCTGTGGGTATCAGCTGAAAAGAAACGCAAGGCACTGGGGACCTGCCAGTAACACCTGAGTGGTCACCTGAAGAAACGGGGTGCTGGGAAGCCCACCCGGCGGGGGTAGACTTGCCGGGCTTGGAGAGAAAATAGGCTATGGCTTCCAGGCAGCACACCCCCCCCGGTTTCCCAGTTTGGTCAGAAGGACCACTTCTCACAGTGGAATGGGGGTGGGAGCTCCCTGAGTAGGTGGAGTCTTAGGGGCTTCCATCCAAGTCCTGCGGGAAGTCCCTGGGAGACAAGGCACTGACCAGGTCGGGGCCAGAGGCTCGGGGTCCTTGTCCTCCCTTGGTCCCAGTATGTCCATCTGTAAAACGGCCCTGCACTGTTACTCCTAAGGAACACACTGAAGGATGGGAAAGGGAAGGCACAAAACACCTGTGCAGCAGGCGCAGGTGCTAGGGATTCCCAGGCCTTTTTCTCCCACAATTCTCACAACTTCCTGGCAAAGCCAGTGTGATTATCTCAGATGTAGAGCCCTCGGTCTCACAGGCGAGGGAGCTGAGGCTGAGCCCCTGTGCTTCTGAGACATTCCCCGCCTCAGGCTGTGTTCACAGCTCTCAGGGGCCAGGTGAGTCACTGCTGTGGCCCTCACTTTTGTGTCTCCCCAGAGAACAGTGTGGAATCCTTGAGCATCAGCTCTTCGTCAATCACTGAAGACAAACCAAAGGAACATGCAAGAAAAAACAAAGGTAACCTTCAAGCTGGGAGGCTGAACTCTGGGTTGGCGGGAGGCAAATCCTCTCCCTCTGCCCTGGTCTCTAAAGCTAAGGGCAGAAGGAAATGCTTCTTTTTCCGCTAGGAACTGGGTTACAGAGACTTGAAATAACAGGCATGTAAACAAAGTAGGATTTATTGCTCCCTCTATTAATGAGAAATGTGGGAGGCAGTGCAGGCTTTCCTGAGGCTCCACAAACAGCAGTTCAATGAAATTCAGGTGACCAGGTCCGCAAGTCTCTCTGCTCCACCAGAAGGGAATTAGGGCTTTCAACCGCAAGATTGTCTCGTGCTCACAAAATGGCGGCCGCAGCTCCAGCCTCATCACATCTGATTCTAGGCAGAGAAAATGAACCAAAGGAAGGGCAAAGCTACCCTCTGGCTGACTGAGCCTTTCTAGGGGAAAGGTTTCTTCCCAAAAGTCCCATCCAGCAATGTCTGCCCACATTCCAATAGGTAAATTTGCCATATGGCCATCAGGGTCTATAAGGAAGGCACATTGCTGCCACCATTAGGAGGAAGGAGGGTAGGCGGCTAGCTAGCTGCGTGTGCCTCACACTGGTACCCTGCACAGGGCACCGCCACCTCCTGCACTGTGGCTCCGACCTCCCTTGCCTGGACTCCCTGCTGTCTCCGGAGCTGCCCCTGTGCTACTAGGCCAGTCTGGTCCTTCTGCAGGGGTTTGCAGGCATGAGCATTTCTCCCAGCCTGTCCTCCACGGCCTAGGCTCCCACCCCTTTCCCCACCACCTTTCCTTTCTTCTATAATTATGAAATCAAATGAAAATTCAAACATGTCCAGACATAGAGATTGGAGCCAGCGAGGCTCACAGGCCCACCACCAGCTTCTGCCACTGACTCAAATGTGCCCGTTTGCTTCCTCTGTCCTTTTGCCCTTTTTCTTTGCCAGGGCATCTTAAAGTAAAATCCAGATGTGTCGTTTCATCCACCTCAGTGTGGACTTCGCAACAATAGGGGTGTTTCCGCACAATCCCAAGCATCATCACCACACCTGACAAGGCGAACCAGCCCAACCTGCAGGCAGACTTTCCCAGTTATCTCAGAAACATCTTCCGAAGAACATTCGTTCTAATCAGGATTCAAAGGAGACCTGAGTTCCGTCGGTCTCTGTGAATCTAGCAGCCCCCTCCCTGGCCCACCCTGTCGCTCTCTGGCTTTGACTCGTTGAGCAGTGGTGTGGCCTCTCCTGCAGCAGGCCCCAGTGTCCCCATTCTGCACTCGTGCGATTTGTGTGTCTGCTTCTCTATGCCCATTCTTCCTGCTCTTGGACATTAGCTCCAGGTGCTTGACTAGATCTTGGCTCCCCTTGGTTATGAGCCTCTTCTCATGGGCAGAGGCAGCCCCCACATCTGCTGTGGGTGCAGAGGCACGGGAGGGAGGGAGGGAGTCCCGGGGGTGAGTGCCTGACCCTCCACACAAACTGTCACAGCAGCCATTCACCCAATCGCCCATCTATCCTTTTCTTTTTTTGATACAGGGTCTCACACTCACCCAGGCTGGAGTGCAGTGGTTCTATCGCAGCTCACTGCAGCCTCAACCTCCTGGGTTCAGGCGATCCTCCCACTTCAGCCTGCTGAGTAGCTGGCACAACAGGTGCGCACACCTGCCTTTACACCTGGCTCATTTTTGTATTGTTTGTAAAGATACGTTTTCACTATATTACCTAGGTTGGTCTTGAACTCCTGGGCTCAATCAATGCTTCAGCCTTGGCCTCCCAAAGGGCTGGATGACAGGCATGAGCCACCACACCTGGCCCAGTTTATGAGTTTTGACAAATGTGTATAATGTGTTCCCTCCACACTCGGAAGATCTAGACCATTTCCATCTCCCCAGAAATTTTCCTTCCCCCACAGACAGCCACTCTTCAGCTATCCCCACCAAACCACCGGCTCCCCTCTCCAGCCTCCTGTAAATGGAATCACACACTCTCTATCCTTCCAGTTTCGGCTTTCACTCAGCATCTCGTCTGTGAGATGCGTCCACGTTGCTGCACCTAGCCAGAGTCCCTTCTGTGCATATATCAACCATTTATTCTTTCTGTTGCTTGTGAACATGGTGAACATTTGGGTTGTTTCCAGGGTGTGTGTGTTTTTCTTTTCTGAGATGGCGGTTCACTCAGTCACCCAGGCTGGAGTGCAGTGGTGTGATCTCAGCTCACTGCAACCTCCACCTCCTGGATTCAAGCTATTCTCCTGCCTCAGCCTACTGAGTAGCTAGGATTACAGGTGCATACCACCATGCCTGGCTAATTTTTTGTGTCTTTACTAGTAGAGATGGCGTTTCACCATGTTGGCCAGGCTGGTCTCCTGACCTTGGGTGATCTGCCCACCTCGGCCTCCCAAAGTGCTGGGATTACAGGAGTGACCTACTATGCCCAGCCATCCAGTTTTTAGCTATTACAAATAATACTGCTATGAAGTTTTGTACATGTCACTTTGGGGACATAAGCACTCACTTCTCCAGGGTACACACCAAAGAGTGGAATTGCTGGTCGTGTGTTTAACTTTAGTGGAAAATGAAGTTTTCCAGAGGGACTATACCAATTCACAGTCCCACCAAGAGGCATACAACTTCCAGTTGCTCTGCATCCTCTCCAACTTGGTACACTGCCGATCCTTTTCATATGACTTTGTCCTCTGGGTATATGTTAGCATCTCATCTTTCCTGGAAACCCAGGAGGGCAATTGCCTTTTCATGTTTCTGGGCCATTTGATGATTCTGTGTTGAGACATATCTGTTTCCATCTTCTGCCCACTTTTCTGTTGCATTGCCTGTTTATTTTAATGATTTCTAGGAACTCTTTCCTGGATAGAAGTCACTTGCTAGTTTGTATGGCAGATATCTTCTCTCAGTCCTGGGACTGCCTTTCATTCTCTAAGTGATGCTAAAAGGCACCAATAAAAAGTTGCTAATTCTGGTGTTCAGTTTCATGTAGCTCAATCATTTCTGGGTCATGGCTTTTAGTGTTTCATTTTAAAACTCCAAATGCTCATTAATGACAGACTTGATAAAAAAAAATGTGGCACATATACACCATGGAATATTATGCAGCCATAAAAAATGATGAGTTCATGTCCTTTGTAGAGACATGGATGAACCTAGAAACCATCATTCTCAGCAAACTGACGTAAGAACAGAAAACCAAACACTGCATGTTTTCACTCATGGGTGGGTGATGAACAATGAGAACACGGGCACAGGGAAGGGAACAACACTCACAGGGCTAGGTCGGGGGGTATGGAGGGGAGGGGAGAAGGGGGACAATGGGGGTGGGGTGGGGAGGATGGGGAGGGATAACACTGGGAGAAATGCCTGATGTAGGTGAGGGGGTGTGTTGGGTGGATGGAGACAGCAAACCACCATGGCATGTATGTACCTATGCAACAATCCTGCAGGATGCAGGACATGAACATACACCCCAGAGCCCAAATACAAGAAAGGAAAAAAAAAACTCTTTGCTGACCCCCAAGGTCATGATATCCTCTTGTTGTGATTTCTACAGCTTTTTGTTTTACTTTCACAGTGAGTTCTACAAACCATATCTTCATTGACCTAATCATAGCCATTTCATTTGTAGATTGCTTTGGGTTTTCTACTGTGCAATCACGTCACCTTGAATACCATTATTTTCTCTTCCTTCCTTTGTGATCCTTATGCCCTTTCTGTCTTTCTTTTTTTTTTTTTTTTTTGAAACAGGGTCTCACTCTGCCATCCCGGGTGGAGTGCAGTAGTACCGTCTTGGCTCACTGCAGCCTTGACTTCCTGGGCTCAAGTGATCCTCCCACCTGAGCCTCCCAAATGCTGGGATTCCAAGAATGATCCACCATGCTCATTCTTGAATCATTGCCCCCGTGTGGACCCTCATTTTAACATAGAATAGCAATGTCAAGAGCATGCATCCTTGCCTTGCTCCTGGTCTGTTCCTACATGGGTGGTGGTACGTTCAATATCTCATGTGCAGGTTGCTTGTAGTTATCTGTATTCATTTCCTATTGCTGCTGTGACAAATCACTGCAAACTCAAAGGCTTAGAACAGCACAAGTAGCTCGTCTTACAGTTCTGGAAGTCAGAAGTCCTATAGGACTAAACCAAGGCATTGGCAGGGCTGCCTTCCTCCTGGAGGCTGGGAGAAAATTCATCTTCTTGCCTTTTTCAGCCTCTAGAGGCAGCTGCCCGCATCGCTTGGTTCAAGCCTGTCACTTTGCCTTCAAATCAGGCAGCACAGTTTTTTGAGAGTTTTTATCATAAAGGGGTGCTGAATATGGTTGAATGTTTTTTTCTGCATCTTTTGCGATGTTCATACAGTTTTCGTTTAATTCTGTTATGGGATGTATCACATATATTGACTTGTGTATGTTGAACTATCCCCGCATTCCTGGGATGGAACCCACTGGATCATGACGAATTGTCTTTCTGATGTGCTGTTAGACTCAGTTAGCTAATATTTTGTTGAGGATTTTTGCATCTATGTTCATCAGGGAAATTGGTCTGTAGTTTTCTTTTTTAATTTTTTTTGACGTGTTCTTTCCTGGTTTTGGTATCAGGGTGATACTGGCTTCATAGAATGATTTAGGGAGGATCATTTCTTTCTCAACCTTTCAGAATAGTTTTAGTAGGATTCATACCAATTCTTGAATGTCTGGTAGAATTTAGCTGTGAATCTGTCTGGTCTTAGGCTTCTGTTGTTATTGACAATTTTTTAATTATGGATTCAATCTCGTTACTTGTTATTGGTCTGTTCAGCGTTCCTATTTCTTCCTGATTTAATCTAGGAGAGTTGTATGTTGCCAGGAATTGACTAATTTCCTCTAGGTTTTGTTGGCGCATGTAAGTGTTCATAGTAGTCTCGAATGATCTTTTGTGTTTCTGTGGTGGTGGTTGAATATCTCCAGTTTCATTTCTAATTGAGCTTATTTGGATCTACTGTCTTCTTTTCTGGGTTATCTTGCCAGTGGTCTAAACGGATTTTATTTTTTCAAAGAACCAGGTCTTTGTTTCATTTATCTTCTGCATTTTTTTTCTTTCAATTTCATTTACGTCTGCTCTGATATTTGTTATTCATTTTCTTCTGCTGGGTTTGGATTTAGTTTGTTCTAGTTTCCCTAGTTCCTTGAGGTGTGACATTAGATTGTTAATGTGTGTTCTCTCAGACTTTTTGATGCAGGCGTTTAATGCTGTGAACTTTCCTCTTGGGACTGCTTTTGCTGTGTCCCAGAGGTTTTGATAGCTTGTCTCATTATTATCATTCAATTCAAAGAATTTTAAAATTTCCATCTCGATTTCCTTGTTAAACCAGATGTCATTCAGGAGCGGATTATTTATTTCCAGGTGCTCCTATCACATCACTGCATCTTGGCTTCTCTTCCTGCACCCCTCATTCTGCCCCAACCCTCTGCCTCCCTATTACAAGGATCCCCATGATTACACTGGGCCCACCGG